CCCCCCCCCCCCAGGCAGCTTCGGGATATTCTGGTACCTTTTCTGGCTGCTCGTCTCCTACGAGTCCCCGGCGCTGCACCCTAGCATTTCCGAGGAGGAGCGCAAGTACATCGAGGACGCCATCGGCGAGAGCGCCAAACTCATGAACCCCGTCACGGTCCGGGCCCAAACCTGCGGGGCGGGGGCGTGGTGGGGAGAGGAGAGATATCTAGGCAGGGACGCAGGAGAAGAATGGGCCTTGGACCCGCACTGCATGTAGATCTTGGTGGGCATCCATAGACGTTTAGAGGAGACTTGATGGGAACGCAAGGTGGATGGAGCTAGAACCTAGGAGGCGGGGTTAAAGCCCGGAGAGAACGGCAACAGCAGGTGCAGAGAGCAGGGCTCGGTGGCGAGGTGGGCGGAACCACTGGTGGGCGTGGTTAAACCTGCAGAGGCAGATTAGAATGTGAGGTTTTGCTTAGACCTTGGGGTGGGTGAGGCTAGAATTAGGGGGCGTAATTGGATGGAAAGAAACTCTTGGGTCCACATTTCTGAGTCTCTGAAGGTCATCGTGGTCTCCGGACACCTGCCAACCCGAGGGCCACTGTAGAGTCGGGACCGCTGCATCCCTGAGGTGTTACTGTGAGGCTAGGATGCCAACGTCCCCATGGGGGACGTGGACAGGCTGGCAACCCTGCGTCCTTGGAGGTTCTAGTGAGATCGGGAAGCCTGGGTCTCTGCGGGACTGTAGTGGGATCCCTATAGGGTCACGGAGAGCGCCCAGCCCTGCTCTCTGTCTTAGCCGTCCCTCGTCTCGAGCGCCCAGCCCTGCTCTCTGTCTTAGCCGTCTCGAGCGCCCAGCCCTGCTCTCTGTCTTAGCCGTCCCTCGTCTCGCCCCCCCACAGAAGTTTAACACACCCTGGCGGCGCTTCTTCACGTCCATGCCAGTTTACGCCATTATCGTGGCCAACTTCTGCCGCAGTTGGACGTTCTACTTGCTTCTTATCTCCCAGCCCGCCTACTTCGAAGAAGTGTTCGGCTTCGAGATCAGCAAGGTTGGGTTCAGAAAGGAGGGTGCTGAGGGAGCGGCGCGGGTTGAGGGGGGAAGGAGAGGGACCTGCATCCCAAGGGGCTGGAACGGGGCGCAGGAAGGAGCCGGTGGTACCTGAGCCGTGGAGACCCCGGGCGCGTGGCCCCTGAGCCCCCTCCCTGTACGCCCGCTGGCGCAGGTGGGCCTGGTGTCAGCGCTGCCTCACCTGGTCATGACTATCATCGTGCCCATTGGAGGCCAGATCGCTGACTTCCTCAGGAGCCGCCGTATCATGTCCACCACCAACGTGCGCAAGTTGATGAACTGTGGGGGTGAGTGGGGCGGGGCCTGGATCTGGTCTGGGACAGCCTGGGAGGGGCAGAGCGCCGTGGGGCAGATCTAGGGAGCCAGACTCTGGGGAAGGGGCAGAGGTCAGAGGGCGTGCCCAGGGGCGCGTCCAAAAAGACTGAGCCAGAGTGAGACCAGACTTGGCTGGAACAGAATGGAAGGTGGCAGCCTCAGGGGTCGAGGGGTAGAAGGGCAAGGCAGGTATGGCCGTCCAGGTGGAGCAAAGGCAAGACCACGTTGGGTCTGGAAGGACGGGGTCTATACGAGGCTGGCCAGAGTAGGATGGGAACTGGCTGATGAAGAGGGGGGACCTGGAGAGACAAAGGTCAGAGTGTAATGAATAGGGACAGAGAGGGAAGGTGCGAAGGTACCTGGGTGGGGCCTGGACCCTGCGTCTTCAGGGCGTGGCCTCGTCAGTGGGTGGGGCCACGGAGGGCCAGGTCGGGGCGGCGAGCCTGTGCGCGTGGTCAAGGGCCAAGCAATGGGGAGGTGAGGGCTTGTTTAGGGCGGGCGCGGACAGAATGGGGAACAAAGCCAGGGACAGGCGTGGAAGTGCCCAGACTGGGGCGAATAGGGGTCGGCTGCGGCGGGAACGGGTCTGGAGAGGCGTGGGGCGGCCTGCGCTCAGATAAGCGGCTCTCTGTAGGCTTTGGCATGGAAGCCACGCTGCTGCTGGTGGTCGGCTACTCGCACTCCAAGGGCGTGGCCATCTCCTTCTTGGTCCTCGCAGTGGGCTTCAGCGGCTTCGCCATCTCTGGTGAGAACCGCCGATCCGCCCCTTGGGGGAACTCTGGGACCCTCTGTGGGGAACTTCCTGGCTCAGGAAGGGGACTTCCCAGCCTCGCAAAACGTTGACTCGAAAGAGCAAAACGGCGGGGAGGCGGGAGGTAGGGGTGGGGGAGGAGTCACTCGAGCGAGAATCGGCTGTGACGTCTACTGACTCGCCTCGCCAGGCTTCAACGTGAACCACCTGGACATCGCCCCGCGCTATGCCAGCATCCTCATGGGCATCTCCAACGGCGTAGGCACGTTGTCCGGCATGGTGTGCCCCATCATCGTGGGTGCCATGACTAAGCACAAGGTCCGTGCACGGGCCCTGACCCACTTGCCCTCCAAATTTGTGTATATTACCTTCCTGACGTGCATCACCCTCCCTGGGCTCCATCCCTGCCCTCTCTGGGTCTCAGCCTCTTTCTGGATCTCGGTCTCCCTTTCTCTGGGCCTCCCTCCCCCCGCACCGCCGCCCCACTCAGGTTCTCTCTCCACCTCCTGTTTCTCTGTCCTCTGACTTCACCTCACCATTGTCCCCTCCCCAGACTCGGGAGGAGTGGCAGTATGTGTTCCTCATTGCCTCCCTGGTGCACTATGGAGGAGTTATCTTCTATGGGGTCTTCGCTTCCGGAGAGAAGCAGCCGTGGGCGGAGCCTGAGGAGATGAGCGAAGAGAAATGTGGCTTTGTTGGCCACGACCAGCTGGCTGGCAGTGACGAAAGTGAAATGGAGGATGAGGCTGAGCCCCCCGGGGCACCCCCTGCTCCCCCTCCCTCCTATGGAGCTACACACAGCACAGTTCAACCCCCAAGACCCCCACCCCCTGTCCGGGACTACTGACCATGTGCCTCCCACTGGATGGCAGTTTCCAGGACCTCCATTCCACACATCTCTGGCCTGAGTGACAGTGTCAAGGAACCCCAGTCCTCTCTGTCCTGCCTCAGGCCTAAGAAGCACTCTCCCTTGTTCCCAGTGCTGTCAAATCCTCTTCCCCTCCCAATTGCCTCTCAGGGGTAGTGAAGCTGCAGACTGGCAGTTTCAAGGATACCCAAATTCCCCTAAAGGTTCCCTTCTCCACTTTTTCTGCCTCAGTGGTTTCAAATCTCTCCTTTCAGGGCTTTATTTGAATGGACACTTCAATCTCTCACTCTCTCTTGTGGTTTTGGGCACCTCCCCCTTTCCTTGAACCCCAGGGACTCTCAGGCTAAGCCCTGAGATTACTCAGCCCCCGCTCCCCTTTCAGAAAAATTCAAGGTCTTCCTCTAGAAGTTTCAAATCTCTCCCAACTCTATTCTGCATTTTCCAAGTTCGTTTCCCCCACCCCCGCTTCACCCCTCCCTCCACCAGCATATTCTGCTGAAGCACCAAATTCCCCAAGACCTTCTCTCTAGCTTAGCATAATACCTAGGGAAACAACCAAAATGGCAGTTTTAACAATATGCCTCTCTTCACTCCCATGCACTTTTTCTGACACGGTTTTCAGGTCTAAATAGTGGCTGCTTAAGTCCATCAACTCAATGGTTTGAAGCCACCGGCATTGAACTTTCCCATGGTGGTTTCAAGATGCTCCTCTTCCCCCCAATTCCTTGCACTTTATTCTTCTGGGTGGTTTCAAACTGCCCTCATTTTCTCAGTGGCCATTTGTTGCCTCCCTCAGGGGCTAAATGACTCCAAATCTGGGATCCTTCCCCTCTCAGATTCCCCTATTTCGGCTTAGAATTTGGGGAACATATATAGGAGAAGTCACAGAATCCCAGGAAAGGGAATGGGGCTGGGGAAAAGGGGTGCTTTTCCCCGGGGCAGGGCTGTGTCTTTGTGTCTCTGTCTCTGTGATTGTAAATCCTGCCCTGCCCCTCTCCCAATAAAATGCTTTGGTGTACACACCCAGTCGTCATTGGCCTTGGGAGTCCCCAGCACGCTTCTCCCTGAGACCCAGGAGTCCAGGCCCCCAGCCGCCTCCCTCCTCACATCCGGGATTCTAGGACCCCAGCCACTCTCCTCCCCCAGGACTTAGGCCAGAGCAGTTGTCTAGCTGTGGGAACACGTGATTTATTCGTCCTCAGAATATGTTTTCCACTGATATCTAAAGCATCTATCTCTGCGTGTAGGACCCTGATCCGAGAGGATCCCTATGTAGCAAAGCAGGCCAGGAGGACAGGACCTCTGGGTCCTTCCTCCGTCTGGGGAAGGTGCAGGTCTTGAGGGGCTCACACGAAGTTGTTGGGGAGCGTGGAGGGGGAGAGAGGTTCTAGGCGCTGGGGGCGGCCCCCGCGGGGCGGCGGAGGCAGCTTGGGTGGCAGTGGGGGGGTGGGCAGTGGCTGCTTGGTAGCGATGTGTGAAGGGACCCAGGCGTCCGGCGCATAAACGTAGAGGTTGTAGGGGTCCTTCGGGGCGTCCAAATGCATAACTGTGGGGACAAAGGAACGAGGTCATCCATAGGCTGACAGGGGGCCTGTCCCCTCTCCTGAGCCGCTGGCCAATGAGGAGACAGGGAAGAGGATTCCGACCTTCCATTGGAGCGGGGTTTTCGAATTAAAGGACCCCTGAATAGACAGGGGGCGTGGCGTCCACGCAGCAGGGGCGGGGCCTGCCGCGCTCCTGAAGGGGGAAGGGGCGGGGCTTGTAGGGAACCGCGGCTCCGGGCGTGCGGCAGCTCCCGGCTGGGCTGGGGGCGGAACTGGACAGGTGTGTGTGAAATTTCAGAAGATTGGGGGGCAGAACCTGACCCTGGAGGGTTCAGGGCTTCTACTGAGGTCCCCAAGGATGGGGACCTGTACTTTTAGGTAGGGCGCCCTGAAGTGCCAGGCGAAACCAGGTTAAGGAAACGTGCAGGCATTCAAGGAGCGGGACGCTACAGGGGTTGCTCACCCGGTTCATCTCCGTCGTTCGGGAGCCGGTGGTGTGTGAAGGGCTGGTGTCGAGCCGCCCGGCGGTAGAGACACCACAGGAGCAGGAAAATGCCAATAAGCAGCCCGGTCCCGGCGAGGAACAGGCACAGGGCCCCGCCTGCCTCGCCCGAGGGGCGCCCCACCAGGGTCACGCCTGAAGGAAGGAGGCCCAGGAACAGCAGTCTAAACTCCTAGCCCCCTCCACCCTCAGACTCAGGAATCCAGATCCCATCCTCCTCCTCCCTTGGATCCGGGAGCCCCGGCCCCCAGTCTCTCCTCCCTCAGACCCTGCAGTACCAGCCCTCAGCCCCCTCCCCGCTTCAGACCCCGAAGAGGGGCTTACAGCCTTCTCCTTTCGACCCAGGAGTCCGGCTCCCAGGGCCCTCCTCCCTCAGACCCAGGAGTCCGGGTCCTAGTTCCTCACCAGTCTCCTTCACTTGCTCCACCACGATGATAGTGTTGACTCTCTCACCTCTGCTGCACCGCTGGGGGGCCCGCGGAGTGACAGGGGCCGGCTGATTGGGGGGCCCTGGAGGAGCAGGGGACCTCACAATCCGGGCTGAGGGAGGAAGGGCGTCGGGCCCTTTAGGGCTAGAGTTCTGGGGGACTTTCAGATCAACGGCCCCAGGAGATTCTGAGGTGGGCAATTTAAGGGCGTCGGGCTGGGTGGCTGCAAGGGTTTCTGATTTGGGATTCAGCGGCAGCTCATTTAGGGCAGTAACTCCTTCCTTGAAGGGTGCAGGCGTTTCTGGGGGAAGACTAGTGGAGATCTCAGGATCAGAGGCTGGGAGAATCTCTGTTGCATCTTGGTAGGGGGGAGTGGGGAATTCTGTTTGGGGAATATCAGTGGGGTTGGGATTGTGGCCTACATGAGATGCTGGGTGGGGGATTTCGGTAGGGTCAGGATGGAGTGTCTGGAGGAATTCAGAATTTGGGGTCTCAGTGGTGCCAGAGTCATGGGTCTCCGGAGATCTGGGGTCAAAGGTCTTGGTGGGGTCAGGATGTGGGGTCTCAGGGGCTTCTGCATGTGAGATTTCAGTGGAGCTATGTTTGGAAATCTCGGGATTCTTGGAGTTTGTGTAGGGGCAGGGTTTGGGGTTTCAGGAAATTCTGGGTGTGAAGTTTTGGAGGAATTAAGTTTGGGGGTCTCATGGGATTCTGTGGGTGAGATTTCAGTGGAGTTACGTTTGGGAATCTCTGGGAATTCTTGGTGTGGAGTATGGGTAGGGTCAGTGTTTGGGGTTTCAGGAAATGTTGGGCGTGAAATTTTGGAGGAATTAGGTTTGGGGGTCTCAGGGGATTCTGTGTGTGGAATTTCAGTTGGGTCAGGTTTGGGGGTCTCAGAAGGTTCTGGATATGTCATTTTGGAGGGTTTAATTTGGAGGGGTCCAGGGATTCTGATATTGAGGTGTTGAGTGAGTTAGGTTTGGGGGCCTCAGGAGACTCTGGGTGTGGGCTTTCTCGGAGGTCAGTGTTGGGGGTCTCAGTGAATTCAAGGGGGGAGGGCTCAGGGGAAACCACATGAGGTGTCTTGCAGGGCTCAGGATAAGCGGTCCTGGGGGATTCTGGGTTAGGCCCATTGAGAGTGGAATTTTCAGATGCAGGAGGGGAGGGCTGAGAGGGGTGGTCTATCCTCGAGAATTCGGAACCCTCAGGCGGTGAGGTCCAAGGGGCAGCCTTGGAACCCAGCCAGGCGAAGAGAAAGACGAGGAGCAAGAGGATCGGGCTGAAGGATTTCATAACTCTGGGATTTACCTGTAGCAGTGGGGGAGCGGGAAGGAAGGGGTTAAAGCCAGAAGTCGCCAGGGAGGTGACTCCGGAGGCCGCGCCCACTGGTCTCCGGGTAGACCGCGTCTCCGCCCAGCTCGGGCGCCTGGTAAAGGAGAAGCCACCTGCAACTCCCTGAAGGCTGTGAGGCGGTAGCTGCCGTAGCTAAGGGAGACTGAGACGCAGGGCTTCTTGGGAGTTGTAGTAAATTTCCTTATCTGTTTCCCTAAGGGGTCCCAGGAAAACTGGGAAAGAAACACACCTTTCCAAGCCCCCAGACCTCCTTGACTTCGGCTTCGAAGGGTGTAGACCTCTGAGGGGAACATGGGATTTCTTCCTCTCCAAGGGCCCTGGGGACGCCTTGACTCAACAGTTGTTTACATTAGAGGAGGCTCAGAAGGAGCGCCTGGGGGCTGGGGGCCTGAACGCCTGGATTTGAGGGAGGAGGGGGCCTAAATGCCTGTAACTGGGGGAGGAGGGAGACTCCTGGATCCTGGTCAAGAAGGCTACTGGGGGTTCAGCCTCCTGGCTCCCAGAGGGTGGAGGGCGCTAAATGTGGGTCTAAATTCCTAATTCTTTAGAAAAGAGAAGCTTGAAGGTTCAGATGCCTAGAATTTTGAGGGAGCAAAGCTTGGAGGGGGGCTGGATTACAGGGGAGGAAGGAAATGGGTGTCTGGAACTCTTGGGTCCTGAGTTAGAAGGAAATTGGGAACTCTGGAGATAGGTGTATAAGGGTCTGGATTCCTCAGCCTTCAGGAGGAGAGAGCTGTGGGGCAGGACTCAGGTCTCTGTTTATTGAGGATGGAGCTGGGATCCCAAGGTCTCAGGGGCTGGTCTGGGGCAGAGATGCCTAGGTCTGTGGTCAGGTGGAGGTGGGGTGGGCGTACACCCAAATGAGACAGCGTCACTTGGGGTTTGGGGTCTCTTACCTGCTCAGTGGGGTCCAAGATAACAACAGGTGAGCAGAGCTGAATGCAGAGATCAGTGAATGCTGCAGAATGGCTCTGGGCAGGGCGGCAGGAGGTAGGGTCCCAGGGGTGCACATGACGCACCTGACCCCCACCCTGGGGATCCTGGGAGCCTAGCGACAGGCTTGAACTTTTAAAGGGACAGAGATAAGGGGCATTGTCTCTGGAGTGGGGAAGGGAGTTAGGGACTGGATCATTTGGTAGAGGGATGTGGCCCAACCAAGCTGTCCTCCCTGTGAAGCCAGGAGTCCCAGCCTTCTGCCCTCTCCTACACCCAAACCCAAGAATCCAGGTCTCGGGTAGCCTCCCACTTCAAGAGCCAGGAGTCGGTACCCTCAGACCTCTCCCCTCAGATCCAGGAATCCTGTTTCCCAGAGCCAGGCTCTGTTCCCTTCCTCTCTGGAGAACTGGGAGTCTAGGTTCGCATGTCCTGTCAATCAGAGATTCAGATTGCTACTGCCCTTTGGGACTTCCCAACCTTTGCCTACCATTCCATTGTGTAGACAGCACCCTCTTAAGAGCCAGTGTTAGGGGGATTGGGCCTTATCTTCACAACACCCCCAAGTTCCTCCCCGGGAAGGGCTTGGACACATCCTCAGGGTAGTCAGGGTCCTTGTCTGTCTCTTTCCCCTCTTTGCAGTGTCTCTAAGACTTTCCTGATTTTGCCTGTCACTATACCTGCCTTCACCGTCCCTCCCCCCACACATACCCTTCGCTTTCTCCTATCAACCCTCTCCCCCGATTTCTCACTCTTTCTTTCTGGTTTTCTCACTGTCTGGATTCATCTCTGGACCTCTCTGCCCAGGCTGGCTGTCCTTCCATTTCCTGTCGTTCTGAGTCCTCGTTCCCTCATTCCTCCATCTCTAGCTGGCTCTCTTTGTCCCTTTCCCTCTCTTTTCTCTCTTCCTTCCTTTTCCCTTCTTTCTTCCTCTGTTGCTCCCTTTCTTCCTCTCTTTCCTTTTCTCTGTCATTCTGTCTTTGTCCTTCCCTGTCATGGTTACTTCATCTCTTTGTGTCTCTGCATCTCCCCATCAGTCCCTCTTCTGCTGCTTCCCCTGTCTCTCTTTCTCTCTCTGTGTCTCTGGCTTCTGCTCTGATGGTCCTTCCGCAGGTCTCTATTTTTATCCCTCTGACACACCCCCTGTGTCCACTTCTCTGTCTGTCTGTCTCTCCCCCTCCCAATTCTCTTCAGGTCCCAGCTCTTGGTCCCAATTAGTGGGTGGCCGCTAAGGCAGCGGCGAGGCCCCCACCCCCAGCTCCTCATTATCGCTGGCGGCTCCTAATGAGCCGGTGGGGGGGCGGGTGGCCTGGCGCCCCCAGCCCCCTGGTCTGCGTCACTGCCCGCTGCGGGGGTTGTGGAGGCGATATAAGGGGGCTGCCAGCCTCGCTGCCAGAACCCACTGCGCGGTAGGGGGCCCTGCAAACAGGCTGCAGGGGGTGGGTGGATGGTGGGGTCGGGGTTCTGGGCCAGGACGCGGGCCTCACTGAGCTCTTTCCTGTCTCTCCACAGGTGATGGAGACCCACCAGATACCCAGGAGCCCCCGAGGACGGCTGCTGCTGCTGCTGCTGCTGCTGCTACTTTTGTCCTGGGGCCACCGCACGGCCTCAGGAGCCGCCCTGCCTCCCGCGGGGGTCTTCAGGTACGTAGGACATCCAGCTCCCAGGAAGGGTGGGGACTCAGAGAGGTGGGGAGAGACCCAAAGAGAATGGGGAACAGAGACTCAGAAAGGGGGAACAGAGACCCAGAGAGAGGACGGAGATCGGGGGTGGACAGGGAATCAGCAAGACAAAGAGATACACAAGGATTCTGAGAAAGGCTTTGAGAGACTTGAAAGGAGCCGAAGCAGGAACGGGTTTGTTCCTTGAGCAACGTTTATTGGGTCTTGGTGTGTGCCAGGCATGCGCAGGGCGCTGGGGCCGGACAGGTGCATCAGACTCGGTCTCTGTACTCAGGGGGCTCCGAACGTGGTGAACACAGAGACGAAGACCCACACAGAGAAAGAGAGAGACAGGGGACAGAGACTGAGCCACTGCACAGACGGTGCAGTAACAGGGCTTCGAGTTAGACCGCGGGGAGGACAGGTGGCGGGCGGCGGGCCCGGACACATGGAAACCGCCTCTTTCCATCTCCCGGCAGACTCCACACCCCCAGCCGGGCTTGGGCGGTTCCGGCCACCCCCCAGTCGCGTCGGAGCCTGGCGCTGGCGGACGATGCGGCCTTCCGGGAGCGCGCGCGGCTGCTGGCCGCCCTAGAGCGCCGCCACTGGCTGAACTCCTACATGCACAAGCTGCTGGTGCTGGACGCGCCCTGAACGCCCCGTCCGCCCCACCTTAATAAAGACCCTGCTGTGCGTCGGGACTGCGCCTCCTTCCTGCGCCTCGTGTGTGTGTGTCTGTGTGTGCGCGCGCGCGCGCACGGGGGCATCTACCTCCAGTTCCCTCTCTCTTTTCTCATCTCTCCCTCTACTCATCCTGTCTCTCTCTGCACTACCGCCCCAGCTCTGTCCTTTCCTCTCACTCTGTGCCTTTGCCCCTCTCCATTCGCATATCTGCTCCCACCCAATCCCCGATTCTGTCCCCTTCTCCTCTTGTTCTTTGTAACCTCCCAGGTCTCTGTCCCCCTCTGAGTCACTGCCCCTTTCTCTGGGTCTCTGTTGCTCTCTGGGTGTCTGTCCTTCTCTCTCTGAGTCTCTATACTTCTTTTTCACCCTCATGGCTTCCTGGCCTTCTGGGGAATCTGTCTCCTCTCTCAACTCTTCTTTCTGCCTAAAACTCTTCCTTCCATTCTTAATCACTTTCTTTTTCCTCTGCCTGACTCCTTCGTGTCTTTTTTTTTTTTCTTTCTTTCTTTCTTCTTTTAGGTCTTCGTCTCTCTCCCGGCTCTCATTTTCTCTGAATTTCTCTTTTTCCGCTCTCGCATCACTTCCCGACTTCTCTTTGGGCGCAGTGGAAAGTTGGGGGGAGGCGGCGATGGGGGGACTCTGGAGATGCATCTGCCATTCAAAACCGGGTTCCCCTAAACCTACTTGTGTAGTATTGGGAACGGCTTCTAACCTTCCAGCCTCTTTTTCCTCATCTATTTTGAGGATTAAACCAGATACACCATTAGAAGACTTAAATACGTCCTTCTGGAAGCAAAACACATTATTAGAAAAGGGTTTCCAGGAATTCCCTGGAATTCCCTGGTGATGCAGTGGTTAGGACTCGGCGCTTTCACTGCTGGGGCGAGTTCAATCCCTGGTCAGGGAACTAAGATCCCGAAAGCCACGGGGCGGCAGCCCCCCAAAATAAAATAAAAGAGAAGGGTTTATGCCTCTCTTGAAGCAGCCTGCAGCAGTTTCTTCAGGGTTTTCTAACTGCGCGCCTCCCGGGAGACCATTGGGGAGCCTGGTCGGGGCGGGAGCAGAGGAGAAAGGAGAAAGGCATTGGGCTCCTGCAGGCACGGGACGGAGGCGGGGAAACACCTGGCCCACCGGTGAAGGAAGTAAGGAAGCAGCCAATCAGACTCTCTCTCTCTCTCTCTCTCTCTCTCTCTCTCTCTCTCTCTCTCTCTCTCTCGGCTCGGCCAGCCCTTCCGCCCCGCCCCTCAGTGGTGACCATGGCAACTCACTCCCTTAACTGGACTGCGACGTATCTGAACCTAGTTCTCGTGGCGCAGCTCGCACGGACTGCACTCTGATTGGTCTAGAGAAGAGAGTGGAGCTGGGCGAGTCGACGTGAGGAAAGGGGGCGGGGCTGGCGCTTGGCAAGCTCTCCCGTAATTTGCATTTCCGAGAGGCGGACCGCGCCCTAATTGGCCCTTAGGCTGTGGGGTGTGGCCTTTTTCCCTGTTATTCAGAAATACTGAACAATGAATAACTGTATTTATTCCTTACAACTATCTGGAGTTGGCCAAATTTTACAAAGAAACACGGCTCTGAAAGTTGCCAGCGATAGTGAAGGATAATTGGAACCCAAATCTGTGCAACTTCAGAAGTCTAGACCATTCCACTACTCTTATGGAGAAATAGAATTAAAATGTTATGAGCAGTTACTATATGCTGGGCACTCTTCCACATACCATTGTACTGGCTCTTTCAGCCTCACAACAACCCTGTGAGAAACCTCATCCTCTGTTTGCTGAAGGGCCTGGTAACTCCGTCTTGGCCTGTGCTCTTCCTGTACTTCCTCTCCACGTCTTTTTCTTTTTTTAATTAATTAGGCTGCGCAGAGTCTTATTTGCGGGAATCTTCGTTGCAGCATGCGGGACCTAGTTTCCTGACCAGGGATCGAACCTGGTTCCCCTGCGTTAGGAGCGGGGAGTCTTAACCACTGGACCACCAGGGAAGTCCATCCTCGCAGATCGCTTGTCTAGCATTTGAGGCTTTTCACAAAATGGTGCCCCAAACCCCTTCCCTTCTCACTCTACTCCCCTCTCCTCAGGAAATTTCAGCAATCCCCACATTTCAATCACCATCACAGCTAATAACATCCAGACCCCCACTTCTAGACTGAAAGCTCAATGCTCAGGGGTCCAGCCACTTCTTGGAACCCAGACACTCACTCCTCCCCACATGAGCTCAGAGTGTCCCCCCCAAGCCCACCCCTTCTCATGGGTTCCCTATGTTGGGAATGGCTCCACTGTCTACCAGTCACTGGGTCAGATGCAGGTGCAGTCCTTGCCCCTTCCCTCTTCATCCTCCTTCATAGCCTGTCAGTCCTGGCTCTCTCCTTCCTGCTCTGCCTCCTTCTGCCCTGCCCATTTTTCCATCCATGCACCCAGCCCAGCTCAGGCCTCATGCTCTCTCACCTGGACCATGGCCCCAGGCTTCTCCCCACCTCCTGCCTCCAGCCTCACTCCATTATTATTCATCCTCTGTACTGGCTCAGAAGGTCTCTTTCCCACCCAGAGTTGATTCTGCCCCTTCCCTGATCACAGCACTTTCTTGGGCACTTGGCAGTAGAGTTCAAGCTGGTGTTCAAAACCCTTAATGGGCTCTAGTCTACCTATCTTTTTTCTCACAACTCTAAAGCCTCAAATCCTTCCCTGGCTTTTTTTTTTTTTTTTAAATCCAAGCAACATGGTGCTGCCTATGGCTTTCTACACACAGAGGTGCTTTCCAACCACCTGGTCTTCATACACTTTTATCCCTCTGCCTGGGACACCCTCCCCCGCCTCTGTTTACTATAACCAACCTTACCCATCTTCCAAGACTAAATGCAGATGTCACCTATTTGGGAAGAAATCTCTAACCTCCCATGCTGGGTTAGGTGCTTTTCCTGAGCTCTCACAGAGTCTGTAGCTACCTCTATCACTGTCCTGCCTGGCTCAAAGCTCTCCCAAGGAAGCCTCTACAGTGCTGAAACTGTTCTATATCTTGACCTGGGTTTTGGTTTCATGGATGTTTACATGTGCAGTAATTTATCCAGCTGATACTTGATTTGTCCATTTATCATTGTATGTAAGTTATACCTCAATTACAAAGTAAATAACCAAAAACAAGTAATTAAATGTCCCCCAAACTCCCATCATCCTCAGGAGAAAAATCAATGCTCCTCAGCCTGGCATTGGAGGGTCTATTTTTCTGTCTTCTAAGGTCTAGCCATGGCAAATAGATGATCACTAAGTGTTTGCTGAATGAACAAATGGCACACCCTTTCCTGCTGGCCGTTGGTGACATCTGTGTGTGTGCCTGGCCCACATCTTGCTCTCCCTCTTTCTGCCAAGAGAGATGCTTGCTCTCCGAGTTGCCCTTGCAGCTAGGGGTGGTCATGCCAAACAGTTCTGGCCGATGAGACAGAGTCTGCTGCTGGCTCTGGGAAGGCTATTGCTTTTCTTTATAAAAAGGAAGAGGGGCTTCCCTGGTGGCGCAGTGCTTGAGAGTCCGCCTGCCGATGCAGGAGACGCGGGTTCGTGCCCCGTTTCGGGAGGATCCCACATGCCGCGGAGCGGCTGGGCCCGTGAGCCATGGCCACTGAGCCTGCGCGTCCGGAGCCTGTGCTCCGCAAATGGGAGAGGCCACAACAGTGAGAGGCCCGCATAACGCAAGAAAAAAAAAAAAAAAAAAAAAGGAAGAGATGTGTCCCCTTCTCCCTGCAGATATGATGTATGAAGCTACAACACCTGCCACCTCCTGAGCACAGGGGAAGGGCCAAGAGAGTCACAGGGAATCACAGCATGCTGGTCCTGGTGCTATGGAGACTGAGCTGTGTGTCCACAACTGCCCTCCTCCAGACTTGTTTTGTGAGGGGAATATAACCCCTAGTGCTTAATCCATTATTGGTTGTGTTTTGCTATTGTTAAGAAATGTAGTTGTCAATGTTAAAAAAACAAGAGACTTCACATAAAAACCCAATACAGGGCTGTGGACCCTGGAGCACTGTATCTAGGGTCCCGGCAGTGGGATAATCCCAAATCACAGTGGCACACCCATGGGATTAACAGTAAAAAGAGCCCCAGTTAAATCACTGAACCAGACGCTGCTCTGAGGCGGCGGGATGCGTGCCTCACACTGGAGGTGGCTGGAGGTAGCAGAGCTGGAGGTGGGGCCAGGTGGGGGGCGGGGACTGGCCCAGCAGCCGGACCGAGAGCAGCAGCAGCAGCAGCAGCAGCAGCAGCAGGCCCAGGACTGGCGCCAGGATCAGCAGGTGCCGAGTGACTCTGTGGGGAGGCAGCACAGTGCTTGGGGGGCCCAGGGGAGCCCATGGTATCACGGCAGTGCCCTGTCTGACCATCACCCTCCTTCTGGAGACGCCTTGGGGTGCACCTGAGCTGCTGGGGGTGCAGGGGGCGCAGGCAGAGGTGGCCCCAGACTGGCCTCCTGACTGGGACCAGCTCCTTCACCACCGGCACCAGGGCTTGCTGCAGCTCCGGCTCTGAGGGCCTGCTGGGGGGAAAGGAAAGCAGGGCGATGGTGCTGGACTTTTTCTCTGCCCCCAAGTCCGCCCCCAGCCTCTTGGGTCCTGCTACCTCTCAGGGGGGCTTCCTGGGATGTCTCCAGGGTGTGAGTCTCCCAGAGGGATGGGGAGATCCATCTGGAAGGACAAAGGAGACAAACTTGAGACACCGGGTCCTAGATTGGGAGCGGTGCTAGGTTCAGCCCACTGGACAGAAGCGACCACATGGAAGGGGGTGGGACACAGTGGTTCAATGCGTGAGCCTCCCGCAGACACACTGCTGCGTTGGGCTCCCAGCTCTGCCAGTTTCCTGCTATGTGTCCCTTGGCACGTCACCCCATCTCTCCAGACCCCACTTTCTCCATGTGCTGGATGGGGATGATGACAGCACCCACCTCACAGGGCTGAAGTGGAGAATGAATGAGTGAATGTGGGC